TACAGTATATATATATATATATATATATATATATATATATATATATATATATATATATATACTGAATATATATAATATATACAGTATATATATATATATATATATATATATATATATATATATATATATTAGGCGATTATACAGTATTATAATAGCGTTATATAGTGCAGGGGTGCCCAAACTCGGTCCTGGAGGGTCGGTGTCCTGCAGAGTTTAGCTCCAACCCTAATCAAACACACCTGAACCAGCTAATTAAGGTCTTACTAGGCATAATAGAAACTTCCAGGCAGGTGTGTTGAGGCAAGTTAGAGCAAAACTCTACAGGACATCGGCCCTCCAGGACCGAGTTTGGACACCCCTGATATAGTGGTTCAACGCATTATATTGTGTTTTTTTTTTGTCACAGATCAGACTATTTTTTACGGATAAGCAAGAAAAAAAAATATTTAAAGCACAGAGAATGATAATGCCGTGAAGGATTTTTGACATAGGCTAATTTTATGTGTATGTATACACTGTAAAAAAATATTGTGATTTGTGTGATATATATATAGATATTCTAATATATATTCTATATATATTAGGCTATTATATAGTATTATAATAGCATTATATAGTGGTTCAACGCATTATATTGTGGGGTTTTTTTGAGTCACAGATCGGACTATTTTGGTTAACAGTAAGTTTCCATATTATATTCGGTAAATATAATTGTAATTACATTTAATGTAATTTTACAGTAAAATACTGTTAAAAATACGTTTTTTGGAAGTGAAAAAGAAAAAGTCGTTGTATAATTTAGTGACAAACCGTAAATAGGCCTGTCGCAAGAATCAATATATCGACTTATCGCGCAATATATGTACATGACCTCAATAATTTTTGGTGACGCAATATATCGCCCATTATTTTTCCTTAAAAATTAATGTCATCGTGTTTTGTACATTCCACTTGCGCCAGTGTCTTTTGCAGCTTCTCGTACATAACGTGGTGTAGTCATGAGGTGCTATTTCAATTTATAAAATGCTTCTACGCACAAAGTTTCATCTGCAGATCTGGCCTTGTTTAGGGATTTGTAACCGTAAATTGACACTCCCAGAATTCCCTGCATGACACTTCATATTTGATGTTTTTTTGTTGTTGAATTAACATGTTTCTTTTTAGTTTTTTCTTATCAGTTGTGTACATTAGGGTTTAATCTTACATCTAGTGTTGTTAAATTAATGTTTATTGCATTATTTCAGTATCATGTGTGTCACCATGATGGGGTTTAGTGTTTGTGTGAATGACACTGTGCACCTTCTATATATATATATATAAGTACTGCCCTTCTCAGCTCGTAGAAAAGCTGTTTGTGATGAGCTTTGGTTCATCATGTGATTTTCTCATCACCACCAGTTTTTGGTGGTTATCAGTGCATTACAATGGTTCAAAACAGATATTCGTACTTCAATATGTTGATTTATTAACATTACATCAGTTAATGAAATACGGTATGTTATTGTGAATTTAAGTTAAATCTGTAAAACCTAAAATGTTGCCACCATATTTTTTACGGTAAAGTTCTGGCAACCACAGTTGCCGGTATTTTACCGTAAATGTCACCATTTTTTTTTACAGTGATACACAACTCGGTATTTCCACGCAGTCTGAAACATGTCTCTTGTGCGCGCTTTGATTGTGTGCAATTCGTTTCTTCTTCTTGTGGTTTAAAATGGCCAATGTGTAAATTGGCAAATTAATCTGCGAATCACCTGCGTGCCGAACGGTGGGGTCTCATCCGTACGTATTACGGATCAACTGTGATCCGTTTAACTCCTAATATGTGACAGATCAGAGCAATCTTTAATTTTCTTATTTAACATGAAATTGACAAATTGCTACTCCATATCAATCGCATACAAAAACCCCCCAGAATAATTAGAACTATCATTAACATAAATAAATAACAGTTTCTCATATCTATACACATTTTTCCCAGAACGTTCTTGCGACCCAGTAGCAATTCTTCCACGGCCCGGTAGTGGGTTGCGACCCGGTGGTTGGGGACCTCTGGTTTTAAACACCTTTTTTTTTTCAACTTCATGCATCCTTGTAAAATAACATAATTTCTTTCCAAAAAATAAATAAAAAATCTGGTGACCAGTCAGGCCAGCACCAGAAAATTATGCATTTATAGTACATTCTTTTATTTTTTTAATGTGTCAGAAATATATAGTTCCCTTTCGTGGAACTTCGAACTGCGTCCTCTAGGG